AGCTGATGTGCATGCTCAAATAGTCGAAGGTTCAGTCCGAAAGGGCAAACTTAATGAGCCTATTGCTACTCGTACTTGATTAGGGTGGATTCTCTCAGGTTCTATGGGTTTCGAGAAAGCAACTAGTGGTAGTGCAGTTTCTTTGCATTGCGCTGAAGAAGATCAACTTATTCCCTTGTTGTTGAAGCGTTCTTGGGAAATAAAGGAACTCCCTGCTGACCCAAATTCTCTTTGGACAGGGGATGAAAGAGCTTGTGAACAACATTTTATTGACACCCATTACAGAGATAGCACTGATAAATATGTAGTTAGACTTCTATTTAAGACTGATCCGAAACCTTTAGTTAAAGAACGTGATCCAAGACTCTGTCTATCACTATGCAGAAAAATTAAGAGCGTAGATTCCATAATAACTCAGCATTGTTTGATGCTTATAGTTTTTTCATGCATGAGTAAGGTAGAAGACCCAGCTATGAGACAGGTTTTTGATATGAGTCGCGTATTATAAGTGATTTTCGCCAAATAAGTAATATTTACTGTCAAAAAGTAAAAAAATACTTGAACTCTGTCTTTTAAAGTGTTAGATATTATTAAAAACTAATTTTATGTTTGTTGTTTACATGCTGTAGTTTATGGAACATTGATTTGTACTATGACCCGGTGTTCCATAAATTTTCCCCTATTTATGAGACATAAAAAAAATTGAATTAACATACTTATAATGTATATATTACGTTTATTAACATATTTTACATAAAATAATGCACAGTAATAAAGTATTTAATAGCTTGTTATGTATTTTAAAACTAAGTAAATTAAAATAAATACTAATAATGGTAGGATCGGAAATACACAGGTAAATCTCGAATCTAAATATTAGACTTTGAATAAATAATTTAACATTAAATGCCAATAAAAAGATAAAAATAAAGTCGTTAAGACTCTTTTTTCATTTTTTCTTGTAGTTTTAAAATCTGTTCTTGAATATTTTTTGTCATTCCTTTTTTTTGCATCAACAACTTTTTTTTCTGCTCTTACAATTCCTTTTTTTTCAGCTTTTTTTCCTTGATTTCTTGCTGTCTTTCCTTCTCTAATTTTTCGGCATACCAAGCATCAGACGTTCCCGCAGAGGGTAATCTTGGTTTATTTAAGCCTTCTACCTTTATTCTCTTTTTTTTCGGTAAATATTTAGAAGGCAATGTAAATGCTTTTTGGAAACTGGCGGTAATAGCATCTGTTAAAACATTTTATACATGTTATTGTTAATTATTTAGATAAATACATATTTTATCAAAAATTGTTCATTTATTTACCATTTGACTTGGGCCTATCTGGCTCATTTAGAGTGGATTGAACATTGCTTATTTCTGAATTATTTTGAGGTAAATTATTTTCACTAGAAGTCGACTGTAAATTATTTGATGCAGATTTATCTTTGCTGGCCTTGATAGAAGTCACTGAAATATATTTACGAAAGTTCAATTACAATGACAACATGTATAGTTTAAACGTATGGCATACCTGTTTGATTGATTTCTGAGCTTATCATAGCAAGATTTGGCGATAGTTCTTGCAAGACATTATGCGGCAACTGTTCAATTTCTTAAGATGGCTCAATTACACTTGTGAAAAATATCTGAGGTTTCGTTGGGTAAATTAATACTTGATGATGGCTCACAAGTTAAGAGTATTTCTTGTACCACGTACTCGTTTTCATTTTCTTCACTACCTACCGAAAAAAAGAAGCAGAAAAAATATTTGGTATATTAAATGCATATGTAACAGCAAAATTTTTGCAACATTATAAACTAACTAACCAACTTGAATTATTTCTTGATTAGAAGTTGTTGAAATCAACCGATTTTGTGAAATTTCACTTGAGACAAAATTTTTTTTCATTCTTTGACCCATCTAAAATAATTGCACCATTATCATCCAAAGTCAAAATACAATTGTCTCCAGATTCGATATAATTACTATTATTATTGGAAAGACTCATTTCACTCGTTAATCTTTCATCGCTGAATTGTAGCACCTCAATATGCTGTTGCTCTATGATACTACTTTGTTTTTCAAAACTATTATTTTCAACAATTACTTTCGGTGGTGCCACAACTTTATATTTAACACCTATCAAGGCTTCTGCACTTTTGATTTCAGGTTTGCCCTTCTTCCTTATCTCGTCTAAATATATTAAAATAACATAAATCAGTTAAACAAATTTTTTTTTAAACTGTGAATATTTATCAAAGTTGGGATACTAATAAAATTTTAAAGGGGTAATAAACATTAGAATATTAACTACTTGAGAAGATTTCATCGATGACAATTAAAAATAAATATGTACATTTTTTATAAACAATTTAAAAATAAATAAAAATATTTTTGAAAAAAATTAGTTAAAAACTAATTACTTGGCAGGCCATAATTTTTAAGATAAAACCAATACTCGAAAAGGGATTTATTTTCAATGTCGTTGGTCCATACTCCTTCAGCTTCGCTGTCTTGAAATTGTTTTAACAGTTCTTCGGATAAGTAATCATCTAAGTTTAATCGATGACTGTTATTCATACTTGAAGTCTTTTCCGTCTGAACACGTTTTGAGATTTGTTTATCGTTGACGCAATCGACTGATTTTTTCTTCTTCTTAGACAAAACATCCTATTCTATTTCCTGAGGATTGAATGGAACGAGACCTGCTGCTTTGAATCCACTGATAACAGTACTGCTTTCTTCTTTAAAATTATCAAGTGTGAATTTCAAAACTTTTGAAAAATTCTCTTTGTTGATAACATTATCATCATTTGAAGCTTTCCACAGAAGAACAGATATTTCTTCCACGTTTGTTTTAGTGGATGAAAGTATGCAATGTCTAATGGCTGTGTTATGTGAGTTGAATTGGGATGGAGCGCAATCAACTCAATTTTGTTTTCTCGACAAAAAGAAACTAAAGGAAATGTCATGTGAGACGAGTGCCCATCTAAATATATGACTACAGGAAACTCAATGCTCTCTTCTAGAAGCCATGGGTAGAAAACATTAGTAATGTACTCGTAAAAAGATTCAGTTGTCATCCATCCGTTATCTGAAATTCTGAGACCCCATCCAGAATGGGTTTTTTGATAACTTTCGTGGGAATACTTCCTTTATACGAGTACATTACCATTGGTGGAGCTCGAACACCTGATGCACTGTACATGAAGAGAACTGTCAAACATTCTTTTTCTGAACTAACAATATTATAAACTGAGCGAGCTCCTTTTTCAGTCAATACTTTGTTGACACTTGGATTGAGTAATATGCTCGTCTCATCACAATTAAATATACTGCTTGGTGACATGTTTAATAAATTTTTGCTTTTTAAGTAATCCTCTTGTTCTCGGAACCATTCTTTCAAACTCTCTTGAGTCACATAAGCTCTTGCTGCACTTAAGTTTTGAACAGTCCTAATGGACAAATTGGGATGTCGCCTACGAAAACCGTTGTACCAACTTCTTCCAGGTCGGTTGTTGATGAATACAGTATCCCTATCAAGGGATATTAAAAACTTTTGCACGCTATCAAGGAGTTCGTTTTTTGTTACTGGACAATCTCTTGCTGTTCTGTACAAAATCTAGTCAACTGTTTTCTTTTTTTCTGTTTCCGATAAAATAGGAGGTGGTCCAGTCTTGCTTTGGTTTGGATTTTGCTTCTTTCTTGATAAAGTCGACACAGGTACGCCAAATGCTTTTGCAACTTTTCGAAGTGACATCCCAGAATCAGAGGCTTTAAGAGCATTTTTTAAATTAATTTCAGAATAATTTTTTCTTTTAATGATTCCCTTTTTTTTTTTCTCTTGTTATTTTTCTTGATGACAACACCAGATTTGTTCACTTTTGAGATTTCACTTTTCAACACTTCATGATTGTCTAATTTTTTTCTGGTTTTCATCGTGCAACTTTCTCAATTTATTTTAAAGAATCTGTTCTATATCATACCCTTTTTCTGAATCATACAAATAATCTAAAGAAAAAAATACAAATTTCTCGTTATAACTATTTTACGTAAGCTTCGCTTTATAGGTTAGAAGAACAATTTTACCTCAAAATCAGCGTTGTTTCAATTACATGTATTTTCACGCATCAACAAAGTAACTTTAATATTTCTTCTTTATTAGTAAAAAAAAACTTTCACAAGTGATTGTTTAAGTACGATAAACAACTGAAAAACTTATTGACAATCGCGTATGCTTGTTGTCTCGTAAAACGGTGCAATGCAAGTAAACACCTTAGCCTTAGTTGATGGAACACGCACTAGACTGTCTCATAAATAGGGACAACCCTGTCGACGGTGTATAGATTATGAAACACTCGAATATTTTTGAAAATTATTGAAAAATTAAATATATTTTTTTTTATTTACGTTCTAGGATTGTAATATTACAAACAACTAGTTTTTTACTATATCTGGAATGCTTTTGATTCTCTAATACGGTAGTTTATAATGGGCATGTGAACCTATACTATGGTACGAATGGAAGCCACTTATAGAAGAGACGCGGTGCACTTTTACTTTTTATTTTTTTTTCAAATAAAAATCTTCGCAAGTTAGATTTAATTCTTACAGTTTTATTGTACCATACTTATAAATAAAAATAAATATTTCTACCGTAGGTATATATATGGACGAATGTTTTTAAAATTAAAGATTTGTGGTAGTGTCTCATAAATACGGGCAGTGTCTCATAACTGGGTCTTTTACCTTATATCGATCTTAATCACATGGTGGAGTTAAAACTCGATGAGACCAATGATTGCTGGTTCTTACCCCACCATGTAGTAATTAAACTTACAAGTACAACTACGAAACTCCGTACCGTGTTTAATGGATCAGCTAAATTCAAAGCAGGCATCTCTCTGAATGATTTACTCCATGTTGGGCCCAATTTGTTACGTAATCTTTTTGATCTTATCACTTCTTGGAGATCTTACAAGTTTGTTTTTTTGTCTGATGTAGAAAAGATGTTTTGTCAGGTTTGTGTAGATGAGATTGATCAGAAACATCATTGTATCTTTTGGCGCTTCTCTAGCTTAGAACCCGTTTTAGCTTATCAATTGAAAACCGTGACTAATAGACTAGTTTTTTCTCCGTACTGAGCTTGTAGAGTGATCAAGCGGTTGGCTAGTGATTACGAATTTGAGTTCCCTTTAGCTTATCTTATTTTGATGAAAGAAATTTATGTGGACGATGTTTTGTCAGGAGCTCATAGATTAAGTGACGCAGTTGAGTAACGAGATCAGCTCTTAAAGGTTATGTCATTGGGTGGTTTTTCCCTTAGGAAGTGGTCTTCGAATGATCCAGGTGTTTTGGTTGGTTTGCCCAGTACACTTTTAAGATCTTCGCCCATTATTCCATTGAATGAAGGTGATTCCTCGGTAGAAGTGCTCGGCATCGTCTGGTATCCTAAAGAAGATGTTTCTAGTTTTCAAGTTAAATTTCCATGAGTACCGACGTCATGGACCAAAAGAGCTGTACTCTCCCATATAGCTAGATTATACGACCCACTTGGTTGGTTAGGACCTGTCGTTATTTTTGCTAAAATTTTCATGCAATCTCTGTGGCTTCTTAAATTAGAATGGGATTCGTTGATACCAGAGAACTTATTGTCNAAGAGCTGTACTCTCCCATATAGCTAGATTATACGACCCACTTGGTTGGTTAGGACCTGTCGTTATTTTTGCTAAAATTTTCATGCAATCTCTGTGGCTTCTTAAATTAGAATGGGATTCGTTGATACCAGAGAACTTATTGTCAGATTGGCTTCGTTGGTTTCAAGAAATCCAATTATTGAATCAAATTAGAATTCCTCGCTGGGCTCAATTTTCACCAGTTGTTCAATCTATAGAGCTGCATGGTTACGCTGATGCTTCTAAACTAGCCTATGCAGCTGTTTTATATCTGCGTGTTGTTGTTAATCAAGAAGTTTATGTTTCACTTTTATCGGCTCAAACGAAAGTAGCCCCTCTTACAACATTTCTTGTTCCGAAGCTCGAACTTTGTGCTGCCCAATTGTTATCAAAGTTAGTACACCATTACAGTCAAAGTCAGGATCACAGAGTAGATGCAGTTCATCTGTGGTCTGATTTAAAGGACGTGTTGTATTGGTTAAGTTCTCAGCCGTCTCGTTGGCCTACTTTCGTAGCTAATCGTTGTAGTCATATCATGCAGTTAGTTCCTACAGCTACGTGGCACCATGTTTTAGGTAAGAGCGATCGTGCTGACATAGCCTCTAGAGGTGTTTGTCCCGCTCAGTTACTGGAGCATTCGTTGTGGTTCCAAGGACCTCTTGAGATTCATCAGCTATCCACAGAGTATCCTGTTTTTACTTCAAATAAAAATTATGAAGTTCCTAGCGAAGCTTTTGATGCTGTCTCTCATTATCAAAGTGCTAAACCTGAAACTTGGGATCTTTATCATCGATATTCAACTCTAGAAAAGCTTTTAATAATTACTGCTTATTGCCTTAGATTTATTTATAAGCTATATGTTCGCATCTTCAATAAGTCTCAATTAGATTTTTTAAATTTAACCGTCATATTAAATAGTTTTAGTGCGTGCCCTACTGTTTCTGAACTTTATAATGCTAAACTCCTGATGGTTCATTTGCATCAATTGATTCATTTTACAGCTGAATTTCATTTGCTCAATTCAGTCATTCATTCTGTTGATAAAGTTAAGTTCAAACTTCCGTCAAATAGTTCGATGATCCCGTTAAAACCGTTAGTCAAGAATCAACTTATTAGAGTGGGGGGTCGTTTGAGTAATTCGTTGCTGCCATTTGAAACTAAGCGTCCTTTAGTGTTGGTGGCTCGCGATCACTTTACTGAATTGGTCATAAACTATGCTCATAAGATCACCTTGCATGGCGGTCCTCAACTTACTTTGAGTACTATTCGTCGGGAGTTTTGGATTATCAGGGGACGACAGAGGATTCGTTCAGCTCTTGTAAATTGTATCACTTGTAGACGGTACTCTGGTACTACCTTAACTTAACAAATGGCATATTTACCTAGTGCTCTAGTTCAACCTGTATCCGCATTTTTAAAGACTGGAGTGGATTATGCCAGTCCATTTTTAGTTAAGTTATCTAGGTCTAGAGGTAGAGGTACTACCAAAGGTTACGTAGCCGTTTTCACTTGTATGTGTACCAGGGCTGTTCATTTAGAAATAGTAGAAGATTATAGTTCTGACGCCTTTATTGCTGCCTTCCAGCGTTTCATTTCTCGTCGAGGCCATTGCTCTGATCTGTATAGTGATCGTGGTACTAATTTTGTGGGTGCTGATATTGAATTGCGTAGAAGGTGGTACGAATTTAAGGAGTCTAAATCTTTTCAGTATCAAATGAGTTCCTTGAAAACTCAATGGCATTTAAACCCTCCCGCTGCTCCGAAATTTGATGGAGTCTGGGAATCAGTTGTAAAGTTGATGAAGCATCATCTCCGGCGAGTAGTTGGTAATCAGATTTTAACGTTTGTCGAATACTCCACATTGCTTTGTAAAGTCGAAGTTTGTATGAATTCGCGACCTCTATCTCCTTTAAGAGATGATCCTAGTGATTTAGACGTTTTTACTCCTGCCCATCTGCTTAATCTCAAGCCAGTGACGCTGCTACCGGTGCTAGATTATACTGATGTTAAAATTTCATGTTTGCAACGTTGGAAGTTAATAACTCGACTTTCTCAGCATTTTTGGCGTCGTTGGCATCAGGAGTACCTTACGAATTTGCAAAGTAGATCTAAATGGTATCATCCACAGAGATCATTAGAGGTAGGCGATTTGATTTTAATTAAAGGCGAGAATACTCCTCCTAGTTGTTGGGTGTTAGCTCGAGTTGAGGAAACTTTTCCAGGTCCTGATCTATTAATTCGTACTGTTCGAGTTCGCACTGCTACCTCTACATTTGTCCGACCAATTTCCAAACTTGTCCTTTTACGGATGAATGAGGATTTGTATTTAGATTATTAGTCTTCCTTCTCCTCTCGTCGAAGCAAGGGAGAGGGAATGTTCAATATTGAGATCCTAAGATTTAAGTTTACGCACTTGATTAAATCTACCAATCAGTCACTAGTACGCCGAGTTTCAAGACAACCAATCGCAATGCGCCGCGTCTCTTTAGTTAGTCAATAGCTTTGTAAGGTAAGCAGCGGCTTGCTCTTCAGATGTAGCTGCGCGATGTAATAGCCAGTTCGTACTCGGTCGTTGAGCAAGGTGCGCGCACCTTTGCACGAGCACACACACACGCCTCTTTTAAAAGTTTTACACGGGCACTTTAACGATCAATTTACTGCCGTTCTTTATAACTCGATTACTCATATTACTTCTCGTTTCGATTGTTCCGAATCTTTACCTCAGAAAAGTAAAGTGTTTGTATCAAAAATATTAATTTGGTGCTTGAATTCAATAAATGCGTTTAAGAGTGTTAAATACAAAATCAGTCTAATTTACTTAACATAGAAGTACACTCCCGCTCCGATATTCGACATCTTTTTTTATTAGCATCGGACCATTGATGTTCAATTGTAACATTGATTGACACTTGTAATTCTTATTTCAAGAAAATATACTTACTCAGGTATCAGATTTCATATTTTTTCCGTCTTAAGGGTGGTTTCAACAACCCCTCAAATTTTTTTTTTAGTTCGGACCATTTTTCCCGTATTCTGTATGGTTTAACGTATAAACTCCAAAAAAAATTATTTAAATGGTGTAATCACAGCCAGTGCTATTTTATTTTTACACAAAAAAGTCCGTTTCGTCACACTGTGCGGCGCTTACCAATAGTGCGTTCTTTTTCTTACGCAAATAAAACCTTGAGCAAATAGTCCTTTATAACTTCATGCGTTTACTATCTACGCGATTGTTGTTTCAATTATATTAAATCTTGAGTAGCTAATCCCTAACAGCCTGACGTGCTTACGCTCAGCGCAATATTTTATTTAAATTAAATGCCAAACACTTTATCTTTCATACTTTGACGCACTTACTGCCAGCTCGTTTATTTTTTAATCAGAATAGAATCCTGAGCAGCTCATTTTTTACAACTAGACACGCTTACTTTTAGCTTTTTTTTTTTTTTTTTTTTTTTTTTTTTTTTTTTTTATTGAAATAAAATTCTAAGCAGCTAATCCACTCATCCTTTTTATTTCGGCGTGTTTATCACCAGCCCGTATATATTTTTAATTTAAAAAATGTTACATCCAAGCACCTGTACATTTGGGAAAATTCAAAAAAGTTTAAGTACGTCAACGGCAGTTGAAGTACTAATTACTGTATACTCTAATTCTAACGCATATTTTTTGCATACTATGCGCTGGAAGCAGTAGTTATGCGCTACTATAAGCTCATTCACGCACAGTGTCGATAACCAACGCGTCTAACTTTGGAGGAATACAGGAAAATGGTGCGGTTATTTTACAAGGGTGGTGGAAACCTTGAACAAGCTCTACGCATACGATTGAATGAGGTACGTTGACCAAATCGTCACTATCTTGATCCAGCCACCATAGCTTTAGTTTATCGGCAGTTCATCGAGACAGGTAGCGTTTTGCCACTTCGTGTGGATGCTGATCGCGGACGCCCACGTGAAGTCTTAGTTCCTGCAGTGGAAAAGCGCATTAAAGAGCTGTGTGACGAGGACCTAACCAACTCTATTCGCGGTATCGCTCGTTAGGTTGGAGTATCTCTTAGCTGTGTCCAAACTGTGATTAGTGATATCGGAAAATATCCATATCCTTACCGCAGCGTACAGGAGTTGCTGCTACGTGATTATGAGCCCCGTGTCAATTTTTGTGCAGCATTATTAGCTCAAGTGCACGCTGATGCGAATTTTTTGAAAAAAATTTTGTGGTCCGACAAATGCACATTTACTAAAAATGGAATGCTAAATTAACATAATCAATTTCACATTCTCATGAAAATTTGAGACTAACACGTCCCACAATATTTTAATATTGTTGGCGCATTAACGTTCGGGGTGGCATTATCGGTGATCGACTTGTAAGTGTTAAGTAACTATTAAATTATTAGAAATAAATTGTGGAGTCACTTTTTTGTAACAAACTCTACGTCGGAGACTTTTTATATTATGCTACTGCTAGTTAAAATATTTTTTTAACGCATGGCTTTAATTTCGTTAAGTCTGTTTCTTTATGATACTGTAAATTAGATGTTTCACATTTTTCTTTTAGCCTACTACAAAATTAAATCAAAATATATTTTAGAATTTTCACGAAATTTAACAAAAACTGATATGAAAGCTTTCGGGATAACGGCCTAATAAACATTTTGGGACAATTTTAAGTGAATTTTTAATAACTTTTTTATCCGTCGTGATTTCCTCTTTAACACATGTACGCTAGCGCCTGACTACACCCCACAATCTTTGAGTGCATGTCATTTATTAAGCTTCATATCTCCCAACTTAAAAGTTTACGTGTCTTTAGTTGATCAGTTAAGCTTTTGACTAATGCAAGTTAAAAAAAAGTTAGGTGTGGTCTCGAGACACCCGGCACAAGTGAAACTTCCAACTCAAATGTTATAAAACTCGGTATAAAAAAAATTGAGAAAATTAGTGTACATCTATTTTCAATAGATCTTTAAGAGTCCCATATTAAAATGGTAAAAAATTTTAATATTATTACGTATTCCAGCTCGCACGTGCATAAAGTACATATACTTTAGTATTAATATTGAAATTCACTCGTGCTTAACTAATTTCTACTAATCTCAAAGTTAATAAAAAGAGTATAGGTTTTGGTCACGTGACAATTTTTCTTATAATACATTATAGAGAACAGAAAACAAATCAATTTATAGGTAGGATATGAAGGTTGTAGCTTTGCCTTTTGGATACGACTTATTATTTTTAGGATTATTACGACTATTTGTATGAATCCGTGTAACATATTTTTGCACTTCAATACTTATTTTCTAAACGTGAAATTATTTTTGGCCTATCCGGCTTCCTTTTCGAGATACGACTGTTTGTCTAATTTTAGGAGGTTATGTTGCAACACAAATTTTCCGAAGATTTTTTCAACGTCCGTATAAATTTTCCAAACATGCCATACTAAATAAAAAAATTTTTTGACCTATTTTTTTTAAGATACAGTCAAAAAATAAAAAATTGAGGTTATGTTTGTTCATAGTCTAACCCCTCTCTATTTATGCACCTCGATCATGTAGAACCTCTGTAGGGAACCTGTAGAACATTGTTTACCTGACAGTACCTTAGCTGTAAGAGAGGCCCAGTTGAGCCCACATTACAGCCACGTTACGATTTCCACCATGCAGAGGTAGGTATATCTAATACCGACAGGGTGGCACAGTGGTAGAGTTACAGCCTCTTCAATCCGAAAATTTAAGCAGAGTTGGTCACGGTTGGTAGTCGGATGGGTGACCGCTCGATTATGAATCCGTTCGCAAGCACTGGTGATTTTTCGGATCGATTGACTGTCTACTTTACATATAGAGACAGAGAAAAGCCATATCATATATACAGATAGAGTAATTGCGGCGCACTATAGTGCGCATGTGAGAGGGAGGGAGAGAGAAGAAGGGAGATAGACAAAACACATCCCCTGCATGCGGCTCAGCTAGTATACGTACATACATACATCGATACATATGTGCATGGCAGCGCTCGCTCGCTCGCTCGCTCACTTGTTTCATGGGTTAACTCCTTGTATAAGACGTGCCTAAGGAAGTTTCACTTACAAAAAAAAGTACTTAGAGAAAAAAACAGAGCAAACTTGAAAATTTATTAAGGCAAGGAAAAAAATGTTTAACGTATAACGTGACTACACTACCTGAATGAGCCGGTGAAAATCTATCTATTCATGTATTTTCATTTTTATTTTAACTTTTTCCCATCCGTTGGAGACAAATTGAAAAGAACGCTTTGGATGTGAAAAAGGCGCTACGCATGCCATGTGTTCTGCTTGGCTTGACGTGCCCTACAGTGTTTCTAAAAATTTTTATAGTATTGTTACGTAGGATAGATATCGGTAAGAAGGTGCTTCGTTAGAATGATCAACCCTTATTATTTCAAGGACCTTTATTCAAAATACCGTAATCATAGGCAAGATAGCGCGTGTGTTCCCTTCAAAGGCTAGTCGTGTACTCCCCCATAGACTCTCTCCTTGCTCGCACTCCCCTTCTCTTGGCCCTAGGGCCCCTCGTTATGAGGTTTGAGGAGAGAGAGCGTAGAGTCTCACCTATGCTATTGTACGTTACACGTCCGAGGCCGCGACGTCGTTGTCCTCGACGACGCTGACTTTATAATTTATATAGTGTTGAGTCTGTATACTTGTTTGTAACTTTATGTGTGTGTGTGTATTGTATCCTGTTGTTTGTGTTGTTTATACAGTTTGGTTTTTTTTTTTTTTTTTTTTACACTCATTCTTCCAGTCAATCACAGGGAACCGCTGTTTCTTTACGTTAATATTTTTGCTCTTCCAATTATTCAATTTTCTCTCATCGTGTATCGAGTGTATAACAATATTGTTTGTGTATGTGCTTTGCCTTGTATTACAATTATGTACAAAATTGCCGTGAGGTGGGCATTTCCTTCATACTACTTTACATTAGGTGATGTTTCACAATATAGTTTCCATTTTAACTTTCGCATGTGTTTAATTACAAAAAAATTCTGTACAAACTTCTTATTATAGTATTCAAGTGAACAAAAAAAAATCTTTTTGGATCTCGTCCTCCGAACTGCGCCCCCCGATACAGTCGAGCGAATCCTTGCGCTCCCTTTCGTCCACATTCTTATCATCATTATTATTAATATTGTAGCTACAATTACGTTTTTTGTTTCACTCTATTTTATTTAATTTTTTTTCAATAGACTTTATCATGACTCTCTTGCTGTTACATATTTTGGGAAGAAAAAAAAATTCTTTATAAGTATCGTCCTACGGACTGCGCCTCCCGATATAGTCGAGCGACTCCCAGCGCTCACCCTCTATCCCTTATTACTATTATTATTGTTATTATCAACCTTATCATTATTATAGTTATAGCTACAATCCTCATATATATGTGCGACTCCCAGCGCTCACCCTCTATCCCTTATTACTATTATTATTGTTATTATCAACCATATTATTATTATAGTTATAGCTACAATCATTATGTATGTGTTTTTTTTGTTCTATTAACTTAAAATAAATTTCCCGATGTCACATATTTTGAAAAAAAAAATTCTTTCTCAGTGGCGTCCTGTGGACTGCACCCTCCAATATAGTCGAGCGACTCCCGACGCTCATTCCCGTTCGCTTATTATTACTATTATTCTTATAATTATTATTATCATTATTACAGCTGCAACTAACATTTTTTTTTCTTTTTTTTTTTTCTCAGACTTAAAATGACTTTTTCGATACTACATATTTTAAAAAACAAGAAAATTCTTTTTCAGTTTTGTCCTTCAGACTGCTCTCCCCGATACAGTCGAGCGACTCCTGGCGCTCACCCTCAAGGCTCACGAATTTTAATTTTGTATCACGGTCTCTGGCAATTCTAGTATCCGTCTAGAAGATTGCAGTTGCCNTATATATATAAACTTAAAACAAATTTTTTGATGTTACATATTTCGGAAATAGAAAAATTCTTTCTTAGTGCCGTCCTACGGACTGCGCCCTCTGATATAGTCGACCGACTCCCGACGCTCATACTCGTTGTCTCGCGAATTTTAATTTTGTGTCATGGCGAACGGGGATTCTAGTATTCGTATAGAGTGTGGTAAATACTTGTCGTAACACTATTTACATCCCATCGACAGGTATTTATTAAAGTGTATTACCGTAAGTACCTTGCCCTTTCTCTTATATTTCCCCTTTATTCGGTTAGTGTTGAGCTGCGAGTGTGGCTCTCTCCTTACATTTAAAGTATATAATAATGAACGTATCCTTTCATTATCTTGCTTTCCTTCTTGTACAAATATTATTGCCTATTTATCACTATTATTTATGTCGGTACTTTTTGTACGTTTCAAAATTTTCTATCGCAAATTTGTTTTTTTTTTTGTCATTGCTTATTTTACATCGGCTCTACGTGTGCGTATGAGTCAGTTACTGAGTATGTGAATGGTCGGTTATAATATTGTGCGCCCTATCATGCCTATGGAGTCATCTAACATATTCAAGAAGACTGTATAGTCAGATAATTTGTATTTTGGTAGCGACGAGCTTGGAGGTATGAATTAAAAAGAATCGTTTTACGGCCGTGTAGTCCGCATTTACATTTAGACCTGTATCGTACATTTTAATAGTGTTTTTTTTTTATCTTTACATTTTCTGATACTATATTTTTTCTGCTACTCTTCCTCTCTATTTTCTAACATGATGAGGTTTAGCATAGGGATTATATGAATATTTCTCGTTTGCTTTTACTCTTAACGCCACGCCGTAGACGCATTTGCTGATTTCGTTCGTTGCTCTTTCGCTCATTTTCCCCTCAAAAACAAAACTTCTATTTTTTTTTTATTTTTGTTCTTTTGGTCTCTGGAGAAAGTGCGCTTTCTAAGGTGTTCGGGCCGTTGTCTGAGTTTCCGAAGCTAAGCTTCGACACTGCTCATGTGACAACATGATTTTTCGCACCACAAGAATCTCTGTGTGCTGTCCTCATGGACGCAATACTGCAGGAGCAGCCCACGTGAACTAATACACAATATCGTTGTGTAGGTAGTGGCTTTAATAATTACAAGCATTTTTGATTTTTTTTTGGTTTTTGTAGATCTCTATGCCTTCTTTCCAGTACCAACGCCACTGTTTGAACGAGGGTCGGCTGGTAACGTGGTATTTTTATCCAGGAGGTGTTCCAGGATCCCACGAGGGCTTTCCAGCTGTCCTTCGACGACCAAGTCCTGAGGAAACACTGCCACACGCTGGGTGGGGTTGATTATTCCGTTTGAGGTGGATGGTCTGACGAATGGGCTGTTCGTTATTTTACACATGGCAGTCCGTTCTATATCTCGTGACGATTATGTGTGACGTTTCAGGTGTGTGGTTATCAGCATATCATGATGGTAGGAGTGGGATTGTTTTTGATGGAGAACAGCAGAAGGAAGGAAGAAGAGAAGGTTCAATCTCTCATACTCGACGTGGGCTCGTGGGCCTTTTCAAAAAATAGTTTTATTTTTCCTGAAATTGCTTTATTTATTTTTTATCATTCCTCCATGCTCCTCTCTACCTAACAATGATTGCTAAAAATTTTTTTTTTACAATAATGAAGTCAATCGGGTATTCAAGAATAAAATAATTTTAATTTACAAGTATATGTCAGCCTATACGTATATTTTTTTCTTTTTATTTGTCTTTACCATCCATAATTTGTACATTTGGCCTGTGAATTAATTCTACACCTATCGAGTACGTCTACTCACTAGAGAGTGCCATACGCGCCCCTCATGCGCTTTGCTTTTTCTCCATTTACATTATATCAAATTGCAACTGATTAATTTTATTAATGCTTTGTTCATACGTACCTCCCTATTATAGTTGTTTTTTTTGCTTGCAAATTTAAGTCTAACGTATGTGAATATCTAGTTCGCGGCGCGTCCGGGGGCCGCGAAAAAAAGTTTTATCGTAAACCTAATTAATCCGTCTCTTCTTGTCATATTTTCCCGCTGCGTCCGGGGGCCGCGAAAATTTTACGTACAATCAGATGTTGAAGGAGGTTTTTTTGTGTGCTTCACCCTGTTAGCATTCTCTGGTGGTGCCTTTACCATACATGTTTTTTTGATCTTATCTACGTGCGACACTCTTATATCATCGCCCCTCTGCAATTTGACGTTCTTGTTCATATAGTCAATGCCTGTTATTTCGTATGGGCCCTCTTATTGTGAGTCATATTTATTCTTCGATGGCTCTTTCAGCACGTAGACCATTTTTCCCTCCAAGAAATACCTTGTATTTAGTTTGCGGTCATAGTAATACTTTGATCGGTATTTAGCCTGAACTTGGTTTATTGCTTCGATGGTTCTCATCTCTGTCAGGGTCTCAACTAACTCTTTGAAATGTTCATCCGGAGTTTGGCCCTTAGGTGGCAGTCTGATACTAGATGGTGTTCTAGCTCTTTGTCTGAAAACTAATTCGTGCGGTGAGTATTCCGTACATTGATGGTCCGTTGAGTTGTATAAGTGCATGCACATCGGTAAATGTTCGTCCCAGTAATCATTTTGTTCTACATATGCCTTGATGTATTCCGTGAGAGTATGATGCATTCTTTTAATGGCATTGTTTGTTTGTGGGTGGAACGCTGTGCTGCCCGTTTCGTCTATCTTAAATAGCCTTGCAAGTTCATCCATACTTCTATTCATAAAGTGTGTGCCTTGGTCCAATAATAAATGTTCCGGCGGCCCAAAGTACGCTATAAACTTTTCTGCTATCGCTCTTACCGTTTCTTCGGCTATTGCTCTCTTCACAGGTGCGAGAACTATAAATTTTGTAAGCCAGTCTTGTATAGATAAAAAAAGTGTATACTTATTGGCTGAGGGTTTACTGATGGGCCCGTAGAAGTCGTTAGAGATTTTTTCGAACGGTCTACTCGGTGTGTCGGTGATCAGCATGGCTTGCTTCGTTTTAATTCGGATGAGTTTTTTCGTCTGGCATGATGTACATCCCAGGATGACTTGTCTTACATCTGGGCGCATGTTTATCCAATAGTAGTCTTTGGCGATTCTGTTATATGTCTTATTCATTCCCCTATGTCCACCTATTGCTGCTTCGTAGTATTCTCTAATAATTTTAAATCTTTGATTTGCTGGTGGGATTACCAGAGTTCGGTTAGAGTACTGCTGCTAGTCTAATATCTTTGAATATTTCCTTAAAGGTATCGACAAAGTATCCCCACTGGGTTAGATTGAGAATCGCTAGATCCCTGACAATTCCAATCGTTTTTATTTCGTTTGCTACTACTACCTCTTTAAGGGCCTTAATACACTTTTTAATGCTTGATTTAAGCGCCGTTTCTTCAAAATGTTGCTTCACATACATATGCATAATTTTTATTCTCCTTGTATTTATTATTTTAGTTTCTCCTACTCTTTTCCCTTCGTTATTCATGCGTGATGGATTAATGTATCCCCTCTCGTGCAGCGCATCTATGACCTCTGTGTTCGGTACTGCCTCTGTTATTGTCATAAACGCTATATTGTCTAAGTACTTAAATGGGTGGCCCTCTTTTGGTGCCCATGGTGGCCTTGCCGTTGGTAGACGTGTTCTGCACACTCTATATTTTTCTATCGATGGTGAGTGTATGACTGTATCGGCTTCGTTCTCGCTCTCTGTTTTGCATAGTGCGTCATCTAACTCGTAGGCTTGCTCTCTTTCTTCCTCTGCTGTACTTTCATTGCTGACATCGCCGCTGCTTGTTTGCTGTCTGTTCTCTCTCCGTTTTTTTGTGTGCTTACTTGTATCCACTGCACTTTCGGAAGTGTCTTGCTCCTTTTCTGAATGACTTTTGTCCTCCTTCCCTCGCTTGCCTCTGTCTACTCTTGTCTAGTTCGGACCCATGCTTACGCTCCTCGCTTCCTTCACTACTGCTGCGGTCTTTTTGTGGCTCTGTCCCTGACTCATGCTCCGCATTTATCGCACTAGAGGCCTGTATGAGAGGCGTGTAATGTGCATTTTCACCTACACCTTCTAGATGTAAATGGCCAAATTCGCCGTCGGTCGTAGCAATGTAATGAGTGTAAATGTAGCTTCCATTGGTTAACGCGAAATGCACACAGATATTTCTCTTAAATTCTTGGGAAAACAAATAAGTACAACGCTGTTCCCGTACATTGTTTGTGACTCCAAAATTTTTTTTGTTTCTTCAGGTTCTTGAGTTTATGTCGAGTTCGTACAACCATATAAGGCTGTGGAATAAGCAGTTTCCGGGTGGGTCGTACGGTATTTCCGATTTTTTTGTCAGGGTGCTACCAGGTTTTGCGCAATCACAGGTTTCTCTTCGCGTTTTGTCCTTTAAATAATCTAGCCATTTATCTGGGGGTGCGACTTCTGAGTGATCGTTGCGTTCGTCTCGTACCGCGTTCTCACTTTCCTCCAACTGGACCATGTTCACCCCGTCATGGGTGTTTTTGTTTTCGTCTGCTGACGTGTAACGCTGCTTTCTCTGTTGTTATTATCTCACTAGGTTCCCACATATCTATCCTCATTCCCGGTCTGCCTTCTACGTCTCGCTTTTTAATGTCTATCATTACTAGAGCCCGTAGTTCGTCGGACCTTCCCTCTAATAAATCGTATATGTTCGGCTCTTCTTGTTCATTTGTTGAAAGCTCCTTCACTTATTTTATGCTTTCTTCCTTTCCTTCTATAGTGATTTCCTGTTCCTCTGTAATTACTTCCTGATTTTTGCTAGTAACGTTATGTAATGGTGTATCACAATTAGCTATTATTATTTCTCTCGACGGATTCGTCGTCAGTTGTGTAGTTGAAAAGCGCGGTTTCTGTCAATGCAAAGTGTCAATTTGTCGTTTGCGTGCCTTTCGTAATTTTTCTCTTCGTGCTAGTATTGCTGGCGTACTTGTAGCAGTTATTCCCTTTCGAAAACCTGGCTCTTTCTTGATGTAGCCCAGTTTTCCATCTGCTGTCCCTTGCGAAATTAATTCTCCTTTTTCTGCAACTTCTCGTACTTTTCCGTCGTTTTGATTCCTTAGTGCTTGCTGCAGTGGCGAATTGTTTTCGTTAGGCTCTTTTGATTCAGAGTTCGCATCGCCATTTTCTTGACCTTCTGTACTCATATCTAAACCTTTTTTGCTATTCTCGCCACGATATCGTGTTTTTTTTCGTGTTATACCGTTCAAGTTTTCTGAGTCGGTGCCATGGATTTTTATTTTCTTCAGGTTGCCTTGAATTCTTTTCTTACGAGTTGCCCGTACTTTAAATATGCGCGCCGGTGGTCCGTCGCTATCGGCCGGTTCTTCATTCTCTTGTTTTGTGCGCTTCATCTTCGTGCACTTCAATTTTAAAAAAGGGAATTAAAACAACAAACCAGGGGGTTTCAATGGGTCATGGGACCCACGGTAAGAACGAAGTTCTTTAAACATGAGATGGGTATAGACACAATTTCTCAGGTAACAAGGGGGTCGCCAGACCCACTGGAAGAACGAAGCTCTGTAAACGTTAGTACTGCATTCATGTTGTTTACTAAAACAAAAACTTGAAAAACGAATGAAAAAAAAAAAAACAATAAGTAGTTTAGTACTCACGATGGTTGAACTTCGTGAGTACTGTATTT